TCATTACACCAAAACAACTCAAAATTCTCAACTTTTAGAATATATAGCTTATCTTGGGGTAATGAGATCGTTACACCAAAACAACTCAAATTCCTCAACTTTTAGAATATACAGTTCATCTTGGGTAATGAGGTCATTACCACAAAACAACTCAAACTGCTCAACTTTTAGAACATATAGTTCATCTTGGGGTAACGAGATCATTACACCAAAACAACTCAAATTGCTCAACTTTAAGAATACACAGTTTACTTTTGGGTATTGAAGTCATTACCCACTTTACTTGATTACCCTATGGGGTATTCTGACGTTTAGCTGTCGATACCCGGTGTAATGGTATTATGACATCTATGCTTTCAAGTGTATAAATATGGATTTGGACGCGGACTTTCGTATCTGTACTAACTTACACCCTCGTCAAAACTCAAACCCACATCTCGTTTCAATGAAGTTCACTGTAATCGAGCAGCAGCTTGCATATGTTCTCATTTCACTGACTATTCACTTTTCTATTGGTGTTTTTCTCAAAACAAAAAAAACCAAGCTTTATTTGTCTTTTCGGCTCTACACATAAGCAATATTAAGAGGCCCAATGTTCAAGTTCAAGCAATCGAAAATAACTTTCACAATGTTGACGAATGTCCTTCAGTAACGATTCAAGTTGTTTAGCATCATTACCGAGTAAATCAAGAAGACGTTGGCGAGCTTTTTCCACTACACCATGCCACATTGTTAACATTGCAGCAAAACGTGTCTCGAATGTAATAATAACAATAGCTGAAATGAGAACTTGTTTATCGTACGATGATGAAACGTTTTTCCATGATTTTCCAGCCAAATGTTGTAGATCACTTTCATCCAAATCCCATAAACCATCAAATTTTTGTTTGTTAATCAAATAGCGAACAATATTTTGATCACCTGTAGGCCATGTTTCATATTCTGATTTAGCGTTGGAAAACTGCTCGGGTGATGTGTTCGTAGGAAAATCACAACTGGATTTGGGTAATGATGGAAGAGAACACTGCATGCCAAACTCTGCAGCTTCTAATTCTTGTAATTCCTGTTCTAATTCTTGTAATTCCTGTACTGAAAGACTCTCTAATTCATCGGTTGGTACGAGAGGTGCAGCGATTGCTGAACATACATCCATCGATACGGTAGACTCACAAAGTTCATCGCACAAGTCCTGGATTTCAAACGATGAAAAGTTCAGCACTGGTGTTCGCAATGCACGCTGAGGAGCAGAAACAGCCCTCAAGCTAGTGAAAGACGCCCTCTCTAAGTGTCGGTCATCGGTCGATATTTCAATCGGTATTTCGCGCAAGAGCATATCAGCATTACTGACATTTACTCGTTTTTCAACACCAATAAAGGCAGTGTATGGACTCAGAATTTGATATTTGAGTGAAAGTTCAATAATGGATTTCTTTATTATTTCTTTCTCATCTATCGTTGTTGCTGGTGTTAGAGATGGATTATATTCTTGAAATCGACTTTGCAATGAGCCTGAATTGTTCTGTTTCATCGATGAAGACAATTTCGAATGTTGCAATTCGAGAATGAGTGCTTTAGCAGCGAGTCTAGCAATAGTTCCATCGGTACTCACATTTGGTATGCAATCAATTTTTGCCTCGCCAATTGGATTTTTATCGGTATGTAATTTGACGTTCGAATCGTGATTGAAGAGAATCATTGGATCATTGGTAAGTGCATAGACAATTAGACGATCATTAGCATAGATTGGTGGTATTTTTGTTGGTGCACTCATAATATTAGAACCAAGATTCCATTCTACTTGTACGTTAGTTATAGATAATTGAAGAGCTTTTTGTAACTGTTCACCAACATAAACATCGACACTAGTTTTAGGTGGAATAAAAACGAAACATCCATTTGTTGCTCGAGCAAGACCTTTGACCAATGAACGACTTGGTGAATAACCCAAACCAAATGAAAAGATACGTGTCGACGTAGCCATTGAACGACATAGATCAAGTACTTCATTGACATTTGAAATTTCTCCATCTGTCAACAGAAATATTTGTCGTGTACGACCTTCTTCTGGCGAATATTGTTCTAACCATTGAAGTGGTCTTAATTAGAATAGAGATAGAAATTTAGTTTTTTTTCTTAAGATAAAATGATTGAAACTAACCAATTCAGTTCCACCCAAATCTGCTTGCAAATTATTTATGAGTTTTTCAGCTTTTTGAGCATTTTGTTCGTTGTAAACAGCAGTAATCTCTTTGAATAATGTTTCATAATTTGTTCCAAAGCGAATGATATTGAAATGACAATTCATCGGAAGACTCTTGAGAAAGAGCAACATGGCTTGACGCACCAATCCGATCTTGTTGTCATCTTTCATTGATCCACTACAATCGATAACAAACATAAACTCATTGGTTGTCTTCATATTATTCATCGCACGTTGACAATCTTCTTTAGTTGGTATAAATGAAGCCATAACAGCACCTTGTTCGACAGCAACAATGGTATTCGAATGATTACTAGCTAATTCAATATCTAACAAGATATCTCGATCTAAATGAGTATTTTGTTGTGCAAATTCAATGACATAGACATTCTCTTGGCTAAGATCAATCTGAATTGGATGAGACGTTGAACTCACTCGAGAAATATTGGCTTTCTCTACTCGACAACGAAATTCAATTGTGTATGGAGCTGTTTGAATGTATTTGGATGTAGTACCAGCCGGCGAACCGATTCCGCCTTTGTCAGGGTTGTAACGAGGTGCAATTGTTGTCGGAACAACACATCGGATGCTACTTCCATTTTGAACAAGATTCAGTTCGGAAACGTACGATATATGAATATGACATTCTTTACCAGGTGGTAGTGCACCAACATTGATAATAAAATTATCTTGAGATTTTTCATCTTGTTCGAGTAAATATGCACCATGACCTTGACGAATAGCATCATTGTATTCTCGTTGTGCTTTTTTTTTTCTTTTAATTGTGCTACAATTTCTAGATCATCAATTCGTGCAATAAATGAATAGATTGCTGCTTGTTCTTCTATTGGAAAACAGTATACAGCCTCAATTGGTTTCGTTTCATCGTTGCGAAAAATTTGTTTGATGGTTACATCAGCAGCAAATGATTTAATGTAGGCTTCGACGTTCACTTGTTTTAAGGGTACGTATTGTTGTTTTGACTGTTGTCTAAAAGAAGAAGAATCTTGCTTGATTCGAAGCATTGTATAGAATGATATTGCTTCTGAAACTGCTCTCTTAAATACTGACTACTTGCTTACTTAAGATAACAAGATAACATGAAAATAGGAAGAAAGAATACCACTGCGTGATTCATAGAAAAGAAAAGGGTGTGGGTGTGGGTGTGAGTGTGGGTGGGGTGTGGGTGTGGGTGTGGGTGTGTGGGTGTGGGTGTGGGTGTGGGTGTGGGTGTGGGTGTGGGTGTGGGGTGTGGGTGGGTCTGGGTGTGGGTCTTTATTACTACACCCACATCCACACCCTATATCTAATTTTCTGAATGATATTTTTGTGAAGCCTTATTCTCAGAACTTGATAATATTCAATAGTGTATGAAACACTTCTTAATACAAGGAATGTGAGATGTGGGTTGACATGCGGTCTGGATGTATGCAAGTCGTCTTCACACTGACATCGGCACCCAGACCTACATATCCATACACATCAACACTCACACTCTCTTCAGCAATTGCATAAGGCTTTATGTGTGCATGGACTTTAAATTTTTTAATTAATTGTAAAACAGGTGAATCATTTAATATTTCTATTCAAGAGAAAAGATGAATTAAAATATCAGACGTTGCACATTGTTGTGCTTTCTAATTACTAAGCCAATTCAATCTTGTTGACTAGTACAGAAACGTTGTTGTTTTAGACATTGGTATTGTAAATGTCTTCGTTCTTTGATTGCTTTTTTTCTATTATCATAGTTGAAAGTACAATAATCATACAATAGGAATATCATCACATCCAAGTCCTACATTGACAAAATTCAAAGAGTTTTGAAAAAAATCTAATCTTTTTGATTCTTCACAAAAGATCAAGAGCATAAGATGAAAATGAAGAAAAATAATACAAGAGACAAATTTTAATTTTCTTGTAATAATCAAATTCTTGGAATAAAGATGTTGTAAAAATTGATCAGATTAGGATTTTAATGAATATTTTGAAACGAATGCGTTAAATATAATTTTAAAAAAAATCTTTTATATCTTGAGTATCATCTGAGTATTCAAAGATTAATATTTCGTTTATTCATTAGAAAAACAGAACACGATGTTGATTTGCAATCTTCTCGAATATGTAAACATTAATGTATATTTGTATATCGTAAAACAACAGGACTGTAAGAAAAGCAAAATAAAATGAGATGTATGTTGACAGAACGTATGAAACACGATGATAAACATGTTGATAAAAAATGCTTACCTTATGAAAATGTCATATTTCATTGATTTTCATAATTATATGCAAGCGAGAAAAAGCCTAATGATATCGTCAACAATAAATATGAAGAAAAATCGGTAACAACCATACTAAGTAGACCTGTTTATTCTAATATCACTTACTGGGTAAGTGGATATGATTTTCAGCATTATATGGCTATAGTCTAATCAATGAAAAGCTTGTGTTGAAATGTGACTCTTTTTATATTTATTTTCATTTCATGATGATATCATCTGTTCTCTTTGATGTACTA